GGAGATACTTTTCAAGGCTCTGCAGCTATGAGGGTGGAACCAGCAAGCAAATTAAGCAGAAAAAAGCCCAGCAATGAAAGCCATTGAGTTGGTCAGTCAGGAAATATATGTGCTATGATCTCAGTGATGGGTGAGACAGACAAGGGGAGCAGCAACCTGCCAGGCAGGAAGGAAGCTGACCATCTTTCCTAGTGATTTTTGCAGGATACTGCTGTGCTCTGCAGCGTAAACACAGACAGCATCAGTCAAAAAAAGAGACCCATCACCGTTACTCTGCTCTAAAGTTACTATTCCCAGACCACCTTCTTTGTCAAATCTATTGACTTGCCCTTTTCATCTCCTCCCCAGCATGGTGTAGGCAACTCCCCATTCTCTTCCCAACCAGAGCTGCATCCCTGCAGGAAAAGGCATTTCATTAAATGTATTACTAGTGCTAGTCAGTCATTCTTCAGCCTTTAAATCAAATACTATTTTATTTGAGAGGTTCAAGAGTGTGATAATGGAGAATGTTTTTCATCATTCTACTGGGTGAGCCCTGATTATTTCAGCTTAATAAAACTGTTCTTACAAGTAAATTGTACCTAATGCATTCAACTGCTGAAACTTCACAGAGCTGGTCCTACACTGTTAACACACAAGTACAGACATACCTGCAAGGGTTAGGATTGGAGCTGGTTTGAGTCATTCTCACCCAGTACACTTTAAAATAACCCTCCACACCTTATTGCCTTACCATTTTGCTGGAGTTTCACCTTCTAAGTTGCATTTATTCAGAGTTGGTTTTGTTGTTTGGGTTTGGGCTCTCTTGGGGGCTGTGTTCCTTTCCTTCAAAAATAAGTTTAAAATATTTTAAATTACTCAGACATTTAAAAATATGAAATGCCTGAAAATTAAGCCAGGTGTTTCTTGTCCAGATGGTCCTTCATCACTGTGCCATTCAAATACTTCCTTTTCTTGAACAAGGACAACAGATCACCTAATCATATATTGACACACATTTTTCTAGCTTTATGAAAAATATATTTCCCTCAGAAATTGATAGATTTAAAATATTTGATCAGAGTACATGTCTGTCTGGTTCCTTGGCAGTGTTTTCAGATCTTCAGACCATCCAAGTGAGTTTGTAAAATCTTTCAGTAATTC